GGGGGGTTGGAACTGGATGAGCTTTAAGGTCCCTTCCAACCCAAACCATTCCATGATTCTATGATCATCTGCTGTGGATGAACAAGTCCAACCACCACTGGTTGCAGACTTGCTGCCCAGCTTAGGTTCCTTCTCCGGGGTTGTCCCAATCCATGGCATCTTGGATGAGGGATGGCCATTGGCCTTCTTGGCCACCTGGGCAGTTTGCTCATCCCATCCAGGGCTTGGCCCTAGGGGGTTTTGGGGGTGATGAAGGGGATGAAGGGCAGCTGCTGCTCTCACGTCCTGCAGTGCTTGTTCTCCACCCCTTTGGAGACCGAGGTGTCCATGCGTCGTCGGGGTTCAGGCAGTTGGCTGAGCTGTCCCTCCCCTCCTTGCCCCAGCAGGTCGTTACTCCACTCTGGTGCTACCAGGAGTAGCTACCCCATGGTTTTGGGGTCCAAGGCAATGGAGGTTCATGTTTTGTGGGGCTGGGACATCTCTTCACAGGTTGGGGTTGTGTTTTCAAGCCCCACCTCAAGCTCTTTATCATCTCCACAGAAGAATCACCAAGGCATGAGAGGGGAGGGATGATTCAGGGTTGTCTCCTAAGAGATGTTCTCCAAGGGGTGTCAACGCTTTTCAGGTCTTGGCTTTCCACCCTGCAATGTCCTTCCTGCACCCTGGGGGGTTGCTGAGGTCTGTGGGAGCTGGGATGGTGCCACTGTGGTTGGGATGGTGGCAAGGCCCTGGTCTCTCCATCACTGACGTACCCTTCACCTGATGGGAGAGGCTTGGAGTGCTTGGTCATATCCATCTTTTGGGTTCTTCTTTGGCCAAAGGTCTAGAAGGTCCCCAGGGAAGCGATATTGGGGGTGTGTCTGTCCCACCATGGACACGGAGGACTTTTCTCATTGATGACAACGTTGTGTTTCTCCCCAACAGGACATCATCCTTGCGATGGAACGCGGGCACCAAGGAACGGATGTTGATCAAGGTGACCGACCGCGAGCCCAGCTTCCTCATGCACCAAGGCAACGGTTACTCATCCGAAAACCAACCGGGCACCCGTTCACGTCGACCATCAGGTGGCCAACAGTCACCCAACCTTCAAACCTTCAACCCTGACACTGATAACTCTGTTTTCTTCCCGGAGAGGAAACCATCACCTTTCTTGAAGAGAGCTGAGCACGTGGGTAGTTGTTCACCTCTACTCGGTCGTGGAGACTCTTTCTGCTCCCCTCTCCAAGCTCAACATCGTAAACACTCCAGTGAGTCACAACCTTCTTCACCCCGTTACGCCTACGAGCCCCCACTCTACGAGGAACCTCCCATGGAGTACCAAGCTCCCATTTATGATGAACCCCCTGTAGATATGCAGTATGAAGCCAGTGGGAGCTACAAAGCCAGTTCACCCCAAAAATCACCCATCAGGAAACCTCACCCTTTTCTCCAGTCACCTAAACAAGGTTCTAACTCACCCTACCAACAGTTGGTGCTCACCAAACAGAAATGTCCTGACAGGTTCATGAGCTTGGAGTACAGCCCAGCTGGCAAAGAATACGTCAGGCAACTGGTCTACGTTGAGCAATCAGGTTCCAGCCCCAAGATGAAGACGGGGTTGAGGCACAAATATTCACCCAACCCCATCGGTGGCTCCTACTCGTTACAGCACAGCCCTTGTTTAGTCCGGGACCAACGTTTGGAGATCAAATCAGGTGACTACAGTAGTATGGAGGGACCTGATTTTTGCCCTGGCCCAACAAGTGGTCAAGTGGCCCAGGGTGAGGACTCCATGTCATGGTCTAGTCAACAGGACACGTTGTCCTCCACAGGTTACTCACCTTCCACTAGAAAGAGGAAAAGTCGAAAGCCTTCCTTGTCCCATGACCCCAACACCTCCTCCACGGATGGTTCAGGAGACCGGGAGGTATTGAGTGAGCAGATGTTGGGTGAAGAACGAGCCACCCCAGGATCTAACAGGTCACCCATGAACCGTACGGAGAGTAAAGCGGTGGAGGCAGAAGCTACGAGGGGCTTCCCAGAACCTTTCCTGGCACAAGCACGTCTGGCTTGGGAGGCCCAACAAGCCCACTACCACATGAAGCAACGGAGCAGTTGGGATTCCCAGAAGGATGGTTCAGGCTACGAGAGCGATGGTGCCCTCCCTTTGCCCATGCCAGGTCCAGTGGTGAGAGCCTTCAGCGAGGACGAAGCGTTGGCACAGCAGGAGAACAAGCATTGGAAGAGGAACACCTTTGAGAAGTTGGGTTTCCCTCAGATCTTATTGGAGAAGAGCGTTTTTCTCCGTGCAGACCAACTTGGCTTCTCCTGAGCCCTACCTGCATCCATCTCAGGTAACATCCTTGGGGATGTTCTCAGAGTTCGGGGAGCTTCACTGCATGTCCTGAGCTACCCACCCTCACCTGTGGCATGACATCTCCTTGGGTGTCACACCAGGTTGGGTAGATCAGACCACGTAGCAGCGTGGCATCCCCACTGACCTCCTGGTTAAAGTTCCTTCTTCTTGTAAAGCTGGTTTAGATCTTCTAAAGCTGGTTTAGATCTTCTAAAGCTGGTTTAGATCTTCTAAAGCTGGTTTAGATCTCCTTCTAAAGCTGGTTTAGATCTCCTTCTAAAGCTGGTTTAGATCTTCTTCTAAAGCTGGTTTAGATCTCCTTCTAAAGCTGGTTTAGATCTTCTTGTAAAGCTGGTTTAGATCTTCTAAAGCTGGTTTAGATCTTCTTCTAAAGCCTGTAGATCCAACAGGATGGTCCCCATGGTGATCCCACACTTTCGTAGCCACCAAGCACCGGCACGGGCACCTCTGAACCGTGGTAACCTTAGACCTGCACCCATGGCTTCAGGTGCTGCTTCTGCTGAACTGGGGCTGTTCAGCCTGGAGAAGGTTCCAGAGAGACCTTCTAGACCTTCTGAAGGGGCTACGGGAAGGGTGGGGAAGGGCTTTGGACAAGGGCAGGGAGTGATAGGACATGGGTCAATGGCTTTAGACTGGAAGAGGGGAGCTGGAGCTGAGATGTGAGGAAGAAATTGTTTGGTGTGAGGGTGGTGAGACAGTGTCCCAGGTTGGGCAGAGAAGCTGTGGCTGCTCCTCCCTGGAAGTGTTGAAGGCCAGGTTGGATGAGGCTTTGAGCAACCTGGTCTAGTGGAAGGTGTCCCTGCTGCTGGCAGGGGGGTTGGGACTGGATGAGCTTTAAGGTCCATTCCAACCCAAACCATTCCATGATTCTATGGTTTCCCTTCTAACAATGCCATCTCTGGTCCTCATCCAGCTGGAGAAGTTTTTCCCAGTGAGGACTGAAAGTAAGTTGAGGAACTTCATCCCTCTGGTGTGGGCTGAACCTTCTGATCACAGGCAGCACCCTCATGGAGGTCCTGCCTCTGTCCCCTCCCTGACACGTTGGGATTGACACCAATGTCAACCTGGATGCCAGGTCTGCTTTCTCATAGAAGTTCCTCCTTAGCAAGCTGGTCCCTCAAAGAAGTTCCTCCTTGGTTCCTCCCTCAAAACCTTGGGATGAAACAGCTGCCAGTGCACCAGCTTTCCAGGATCTGCTTCCTGGGTCTCTGAGCTGCTTGTCCCCTCTCTGGGACTGAGCTGTCATGATTCTGGAGACCCCTCCTACCCCAAGCTCCCATCCTAGAGAAGCTCCTGGAGCTGCTCTAGACCATTCCTGTGATGATGTAGAACCTCCTGCTGTTGATAGCCCACCATGGACTTTGACTTGGACCCAATGGAGCTGGTTCATCCCTTATCCCCATCTTCCAACCCATCAGATGTTTCCCATCAAGACTTCTGGCTTTCAACTCTCATGTCCTTTCCCCTCCAACATCTGACACCCCCAAATTTGCCCCTTTGACCTGTAGTGTCCTGCTCTGGACAAGGACAGTGACACTGGCCATGCCAGAAGAACCCAGAGATGGGTGGTGGAGGTGGGGAGGTGAAGACAAGGGTTTCTGGAGGAAGACCATTGGATTTGTTTTTGGATGGATCAAGAGTTGATGGAAGGACACTAGGAAAGACAATAATGGCTTTTAAAAAATGGATGATGACACCATGGGTGGAGATACTTACCCTGGTGAGAACAATCCAACCTGGAAAAGTGCCTGGAAGATGGAGATTGATGTCACCAAGGAGAAGATAGAACCTGGACATAGACCTGGAGAACATCAAATACTCTAGAAAATGCTTCTTTTGCCATGGGAATGGGTAAGGAAACTGGTGGGACATCACATCCAAAGGCAGCAGAAGAAGCTTCCATGTTCACAGATGTCCCCAAGCACTTGGTGCTGCACAAGGAGGTTCAAACCCCAAACCAGGCAAGCTCCAAATCTGCTTTGAAGGCTTACGTTGGCCAGGAGGAGTAGCTGCCACCATTAATGATCCTGAACCTTCTGCATGGAGCTCAGGATGTGGTGGGACTCTTCTCCACTGCCCAGGCATTCCTTGTTGACCCTGTTTGATGTTGTCCTCAAGCTGAGGGATGCTTGTTCCAGCAAGAACAGATCTCCATCCATACTAGGAACTGGGTCCCTGCAGCTACTTTGCTCCTCATGAACTTTCCTCAGTGGTGGGATTCATCAGCCTGGTTCCTGGGGACTTGGGAGATGTCCTTCATCCATGGAAGTGTCCTTATTTATCTGCATGACTTCATAAACTCATCTCATGTCAACACCATCCCATGGCTGGGCTCAACACACAGCTTGTGGAGATACCAACAAGGATTTGTCCATGTCTGGAGATGGTTTAGTCTCAACTTTTATTGGTGATGATGGTCACCAAGGTTTGTAGTGACAGGACAATGATTTTGAACTGGAAAAGAGAAGGTTTAGGTTGGACATGAGGAAGAAACTCTTCACCATGAGAGTGGTGAGACACTGGACCAGGTTGCCCCAGAGAAGTTGTTGATGCCCCATCCTTGGTTCAAGGTCAAGTTGGATGAGGCTCTGAGCAACCTGATGTGTTTGAAGATGTCCCTGTCACTGCAGGGGGGTTGGACTAGAAGATCTTTGAAGTTCCCTTCCAACCCCAACCATTCAATCATCACATCCAAGATTTTTCCCATGGTTTTAAGTTGGTTTCCTACACCCCCATCAGCTGTGGACCTTCAACAGTGGTTGAAGTAGAAGCTTCTGCAGACCTGTGGTCAACCCTGGTGGGCAGCTTTGTGTGGAGAGTTACCACACTGCCCATAACAGCAAGATCTGCTGGAAACCAAGAAGAAAATGGGAGCAAAACAATGTTGTGGATGATGTCCAGGGAGATGTGGAGACCTGGGGGGAGGAGAGGAACACACAGGAGATGTGATGGGACAGCACAAGCAACAGGGATGTGCTCAGTGTCACATGTCCCCATGGACCAGGGTGTGTCCAAGCTCCATCCATGTGGCACCAAGACCTCCTTCCCCTACAGTGCACTTGAGTTTGAGTTTGGCTTTGAGAGTTCCTCTAATCTCCAAACCAAAAAGAGGGTCATCTTCTGCCAGGAGGTCATGGCCAGCTGCTGTTGACACCCAATTGCTTGGTCCCTTGTTGTCTCACCAGGCTTCCCCCAGGGTCATTAAGGATGGTGCTAATTAGGGCTGAAGTTCATTTTATCTTGGTATTAGATGATCCATCACCTTCTGCTGCTTGTGGACAACCAAGTCCACTCCCCAACCTGATCTGCTGGAGTGGACTTGGTTGGAGAAAGGTTGATGTCCCCATCCAACGTGGTCCTTTGCTTCTCCTTGGGTTCCCTGGATGAACAGCATGGTGGTGGTGGCCCAGGTCATGGACCAGCCTTCCTGTAGAAGGAGAAGCCTTAGAACCACAGAATCATAGAATTGTGTTGGTTGGAGAAGACCTTTCAGATGATTGAGTCCAACTTTGGAGCAAATGCTGCATCTTCTTCCACCCAGAAAGCCCCACATGCCTTTAGGTGACCAGCAGGTTGGAGGACCTGGTTTGGTTGGTTGGTTGGAGGACATAAAAGGACCTTTTGGGTGATGTGGTTTCCATAGGAATGGTGGGGCTGAGTCATTCAGGAGGTGAAGCTCCTGTGTCCCCACCACCAGGTCCTTGCCATTGTCACCACAGTGCAAGGTGGGAGCTGGGCAACGTCAATGGAAGGAGGAGACCTCAGTGCTGAGAAGGGACGAGCTGTTGAGCGAGGAGACAAGGAACTTTGACTTGTTTGAAGAAGCAGAAGATCAGTCATCTACCAGGAGCTCTGGTGGCTCTTTAGATGACTTCCTTGTCCCCTCCTGGACTTGCCACCTCCACGTGGCCCTGGCTGTTTCCACCTTGGTTCTATCTTCTGCTTTTGTTCTGTTCTTCATCTGAAGTCCAGCCTCAAGGTCTTGGCACCACTGAGGTCACCTTGCTCAGGGCCACCAATATGGTTCCTCTGCATGTGATGGGGACAACACCACCATGTCTCTATGGTGTGACATGTCCTCCTCTGCCAAGGGAAGGTCTTGCCTCCCACTTGCCCACAGGTCACATCCCCAGGTCCACCAAGCCCAGGTGACACTGGCCCAGCTGTTGCACTTGCAGAAGAAGGAGCTGATGGACCATGAAGCCACGTTGGTTGGCTGCAGGACCAGGAAGTAGTCCATCCCAAGTGCTCTTGTTTGCCTTTCTCCATGCTGGTCATCAGCTGTTTGGGTGTTCCTCCACCTCCTGGGGTGGTATCCAGTCCTACCACCAGTTCCAGTGGTAGGACACTGGTCTGCAGAGGTCCTCTTTGGTCTGCAGAGGTCCTACCTGGCTGGGTGCTCTGCAGGTGAGGTTAGATCCTGGGCAGCTTCTGCACGTGGGATATGAAGGAACAACATCCATTTTGATGGTGGTTTGGAGGAGCCACCAACCTCCTCCTGGGTGTGTGGCCACTGGAGAACCATGTTTGAACATGGCTCTGGGGACAAGGGCTTCTTTGGGGGGGGCTGGTTACAGGTGAGTGTGTCCCCTCCCTCCCAGTGCCGACCAGTGCCACACGCTGCCCTGGCCACTGGCACCAGAACAGCTCCACTTGCCCATGATGGGATTGAGGAGCAGCTCCTTGGAGAGGACATAGCTTCTGGTGTGAGTGTGAGTGTGGGGTGACCTCTTGATGCTGCAGTGGTTGGTTGGTTGGTTGGTTGGGTTGGCTTGTTGGTTGGTTTCTTGGTTGGTTTGTTGATTGGTGGGTTGGTTGGTTGGTTGGTTGGGTGAGTGGTTGGTTGGTTGGTTGATTGGTTGGTTGGTTGGTTGATTGGTTGGTTGGTTGGCTTGTTGGTTGGCTTGTTGGTTGGTTGGTTGGTTTATTGATTGGCTTGTTGATTGGTTGGTTGGTTGGTTGGTTGGTTGGTTGGTTGGTTGGTTGGTTGGGTTGTTGGTTGGGTGGGTGGGTTCTTGGTTTGGTTGGTTGGTTGGTTGGTTGGTTGGTTGGTTGGTTGGTTGGTTGGTTGGTTGGTTGGTTGGTTGGTTGGTTGGTTGGTTGGTTGGTTGGTTGGTTGGGTGGTTGGTTGGTTGGTTGGTTGGTTGGTTGGTTGGTTGGTTGGTTGGTTGGTTTGTTGATTGGTTGGTTGGTTGGTTGGTTGGTTGGTTGGCTTGTTGGTTGGTTGGCTTGTTGGTTGGTTGGTTGGTTTCTTGGTTTGTTTATTGATTGGCTGGTTGGTTGGTTGGTTGGCTTGTTGATTGGCTGGTTGGTTGGTTTCTTGGTTGGCTTGTTAGTTGGTTGGTTGGTTGGCTGGTTGGTTGGTTGGTTGATTGGTTGGTTCATTGGCTGATTGGTTGGTTGGTTCATTGGCTGGTTGGTTTGTTGATTGGTTGGTTGATTGGTTGGTTGGTTGTGTTGTTGATTGGTTGGTTGGTTGGTTGGTTGGCTTGGTGGCATGACCACACTGTCAGTACCATTGACTTGTCTGTTGTCTCCTAGTCAGAAGATCTCGGTGCCTGCGCCCAGTTTGAGAGCAGCAGACAGACCAGGAACATGATGCCAAGCGCCAGCTGCGTCTTCCCCACCTTCAACCTGAGGAAACCCTCCTCAGAAACAGACATTGAGAACTGGGCCTCCAAACACTTCAACAAGCACACCCAAGGACTCTTCCGTAGGAAGGTGTCCATCGCCAACATGTTGGCCTGGAGCAGCGAATCCATCAAGAAACCCATGATCATGACCAACGACCGCAACGTCAAGAAAGAAGCTTGTGAGATCTTTAAACTGATTCAGATGTACATGGGGGATCGGCGGGGCGGCGGGCCAAGACGGACCAACTCAACGTGGCCTTGGAGATTGCTACCAAAGGTTGGAGCATGCAGGGTTTGAGAGATGAGCTCTACATCCAATTGTGTCGACAGACCACCGAGAACTTCCGTTACGAGAGTTTGGCCCGAGGTTGGGAGCTCATGGCCATTTGTTTGGCTTTTTTCCCACCTACTCCTAAATTTCATTCCTACTTAGAAGGATACATCTACCGGCACATGGATCCAGTGAACGACACTAAAGGTAAGGGAGATACCACCACCTGGTGGCTTTGATGGTCCTTGATGATGTTAATGACCCGTTTCTTCTGATTTTATTCCTTTCTCCTTCGTATTCATGAGTCTCCTTGTTGAAAGGTGGACAAGGAACTCATCCAACAACCCTTCCAGTGGTGGAGAGAGCACAGGGCTGGCTTGGCCACCATCTTTTCTTCTCCAACAGCATGGAGATCCATCAAAAAACATATGAGCTTTGACATCTCTGCTGCGGTTGGTCATGAACGAGAAGTTCTTTGACTTCTCCTGGCTTGTGAGTGGATTTGGGTTTCTATTGTATCTCCAGGAATTGGAGCTGGTGACTGGTTGAACCTCTGGGTCCATCAGCTCTGGGATGGTCTCCTTAAAGGTCACCTCACTTTAGAGGTCACCTCTCTTTAAAGGTCACATCCAACCCAAAACATTCTGCATGGTTTAGTGGTGGACTTGGTAGTGTCAGGTTGAGAGTTGGACTCCATCTTAAAGGTTCTTCTCCAACCAAAATGGTTTTATGATTCGATGATTTCACCATCTCCAAATGCTTCTTCCAAATGCTTCACTCCATCATGGCTGGTGCCATCTTGTGGGTTGATCATCCCCATGTCCCATGGGTTGG